AAAGAGCGTCAAAGCGTTTTTGAATAAAGAACCTTCGACCTCAAATATTTTTCCTTGACGCGTTTTTTGAATAAAAGGCCTTCAAATCACTGTTGAGACTAAGCTGTGTTTTTAAATAAAACCCACTTGTCTTTCATCTTTCTCACCTCTTCATATAATTGATAAAAACGAGTCTAGACCGAAACCCGAATAGGCCTGAGTCTTAACCGTTTTTATATTATATTTCGATCGAGTGAAATTCTGAAAGTCTGAGATTCTGAAATTGTGAAAGTCTAAACATTTTGGAATTCAGAGTGTAGTCACACTGTCAGAATGTATGAGGGTGAGAGTGAGTCACTTTCTGTTATCATAACACAATGAAAAACATGGTCCCTACGGAGACTCGAGCCAGGTCTTTGGTTCACGGTTCCAAAGATCTAACCCTGAGCGACTGAGAGCCAGCATTAACCATGTTATTCATTTGCTATGTTATGAATATTTTACTGTATAATGTGAAATTGTTAATTTTTATCACCTGAGAGTCTGAAATTCTACACATTTTGTAATTCAGGCTATAGTCACACGGTCAAATTCTGATAGTGTGAAGTTCTTCTCAAATTCTGAGATGCTGCTGAGATTTTTGTGAAATTCCTGAAATTCTTGTGAGATTCTGAAATTCTAAACATTTTGTAATTCAGTCTATGGTCACACTGTCAAATTTGTAATTGCATTTGTTGATATAGGGTTAAAACAGATCAAGACGAGATTAACAACTAGAAATGAAAATGTTAGTTGTTGATCTCGTACAAATTATTTTTCGAAAACGTCGAAGATAACCCGAAAAAAAGATTGATATGGATTCAAACAATCTAAATCCTAAAAGTAGACACTCCGATTCGCTTGGCTATGTGCTTAACTGAGAAATTTACTTTTGGCTTGATTCACTGTGGAAAGATGAGAGAGCCTTAAGTATCTAATATAATGTTTTGTGTGATGATTTGTGAAAAGTAGGATGCAGGAAGTCTTTCGACCGATTATCTTCTTTTTGTGAAAGCACATTTTGAAATGAACTAAAATTGCATTTGTGAGTATGGAGATCAAAATGTACTAAGGCTGTTTTTGAACTTTCATGATCTATTTAAAAAAAAGTCATAGCTTACACAACAAATATCGGTTTTGGCATTTGCTCCTAATAGAAACCAATATCTATATCATACAGTCCTGCTTAACCGTCTCGCAGAATACGCTTGAACGTTTTTTGCCTTGTGAAAAGACGGATTTAGGTTTTGTATCAGAGAAAAAACGTTCAAGCGTATTCTGTGAAGCGGTCAAGCAGGACTGTATGATATGGATATCGGTTTCTATTAGGAGCAAATGCCAAAACCGATATTCATTTTGTAATTGCTACAATTTTTTTTCAGAGAATATACAGCTCTTATAGCGATCATACTAGTCACAAAAGTTCCATAAGTCATAGCAGTCATAAAAATTAAAATGTCCTGTATGCCATGGAAGATTAGAAATCGTGCAAGCCGAAAATATAAATGTACTAAGTACAGCCACAAAGCTAAAACATGCACATATTCTCTACACATCTAACGTGTTGTATCTATGTCTGTAATATGTTTTGATCTTTACTATTGATACTTATGCTTGAATGTTGTTGTCTGACTGTTATTCTAAAACACCAGTTGTTATGTGGCTATCTGTTTTTACATAACACAGACACACAGTTACTATAGCAGAGATACACAATTAAAAACGAGAAGAGTATCCTCTCGCGAGATCCTGTTTTTCTAAAAACGTTACGGAGAATGTAATTCCTTAGATAGTTATAACATTCTTCTTGGTTAATTCTTTCCTATACCTATTGTTTACTTATCGGTCACCCTCACCTCTCAGAATATGGGCAAGATCCAAAGTTACCACCACATCAACCACCGACGATGGTTATTTTTAACAAACTCTTTGAGTATTTTCAGCAGCTGAAGAAAAATTTAAAAATTTACCATCAACTTGCCCGTCAGAACACGTTATATCCACAACGATTAGCAAAGAACCGATATGACAAAGGGACAAAAGGTTCCAAATATGAAACTGGTCAATTGGTATTAACAAAAATACAAGGTGTTAGACCAAAACTGGACGAAAAGTATTCAAAAGTACCATCCAGGATCATTAATGTTAAACACCCAGTTTATGGGGTGGAGGATGTCAACACAAACAAAATAGCAAGAGTACATGTCAGTGATCTACGTCTTCTGCTAGAAAATGTTCAAAATTAATCCAAAAAGTAGCTACTACATTTTTACTGGCATTACTAGAAACTGCATGTGTTATTTACAACCGCCCTATGCAATGATTCATCTTGACGTGACCGATAAATAAACAATGGATATAGAAAAGAATAAACCAAGAAGAATGTTATAACTATCTAAAGAATTACCATTCTCCTTAACGTTTTTAGAAAAACAGGATCTCGCGAGAGGATACTCTTCTCATTTCTATTAGCTTCTCTACATTGTGTAACAGTTACTGTTTCTTTGTACCAGTACAACTAGCAGTTTATCCTTCGCTAATTTATCTACTCTTCGTGTATTTTAGCATCTTAAACTATTTTGTTTATTTAGTAGAAAACAGTAGTTTTCTCGTGATTTATCTACTTGTAGATTAATTCATTACGAAAAGTTTCTTCTTGGTCTTACGACCGTAAAAAACAATTATTTAATGAAGACCTACGTCGTAAATATCCAGCATTTCGATTTACCACAATCACCTCAACAAAACAAAAGTTGAAATCGTACCCCAAATTTATTACCTCAACAACCAAACAACGAAGTCAGCAATCAAGTACTTGATTGATACTGTTAGAGCATCCAAAGTAACATCATTTGTTTTGGATACGGAATCGGATCCGTCAACAACTCCACCGAACCCATCAGTTATTAAAATCCTACCGGTTCCATCGTTTTGTTCTCCACCGGTAGTGATTTTGATTGAAGTTCAATAGTTGCCAACCTTATCCTCGTCACACGGACAATTGATCAAACACTTATGTGATATGATTTTTCAACTACAGCACGAGTTCATTGCGTGGGATAGAATTGATGATGAATTAGAGAAATTTCGACAATTTAATTTATTTAATATGTCGAATATCGTGCGTATCCGAAATATGCGAAAGAATTTAGGCCGTTTTATAATTATACTCATCCGCATGCACCGGATTGTCCTGTTTTAGAATAAATTTCATTAGCGGATGATGAATTAGTTTTAGCTGCTCCACAGGACAGTTTGGAATTTGATCATGACCCAGATCATGAATTATGCACATGCGAATTTAGACCTTACAAAGATCCTCACAACCCAAATGCTTGGGCACTTCAACGTGCAATGGCACTTCGATTTGAGCAATTTTTAGATAAGGCATACACATGTGCCAAGTGGTCTGGTGGAATTGATCTCAAACTGGGTACATGGAAGTTTGGTGATCCTGTTTTACGTTCACAACAAGAATCATTACGTCGTAAAATGGAAAAATATGCAGTGAATGATGTCTTATCGGTTTTATATATTTTTCAACAAAAGCAACAACATCTTAAAAAGAAAACCAAAAGTAGTACGGCCGATCCAGAATTGGTACGACAGTCGAAGGAGCAACACACAACATTGGCTAAATTATTTATTACTAGGTCAAAAGTTTTATTCTATTCTTTGTTAGCCGCAGCTTTACTATGGATGATACCAATTAATTTACCGGGCGGTATGCGTAACAAACTTTGTATATTCTTAATTACCGTCGGAATTGCTGCTGCATGTGAAATGTATGAAATCCACAAAAAGATGGCTGAATGGAAAAATTGATTAGGAGAAGGAGAGAGACACACACAGATATAGGACGGTAGAGAAACTGTACTTTTTTCAACTATTAAAAGAAGTTGACTTTTTCACTTTTATTATTTCTGTTCAATTGTGATGATAGTCAAAATAAAAAATAAAAAATATTTTATTATAGTTTCGAAAATTGCTATTAAATTTAGTACAAGGAACAAAGAAATAGCGTGAACTAAAGTAAATGAGAGAAATACACGAGGACATGGAAGTCAGCATTTGTTGGTTTGTCCCCATAAAATGAAGTGAAAACAATTCAGCTTTGAATTTTTTGTTCGGAGAAATTAACGCGAAAAGAAATGGATGAAATATAGGAAAAGTGAGGGTTTCGTGTATCGAATTTCTTATCCCTCTCAAAATATAAGGTACCTAATCTGTTTTTGAATAACTTAAACCTTTACCCCCGGATATCCACACCCGTGGACACTGATAAAATCGATATACAAAAATAACGAAGCGTCATATCAGAGCCGGATTCTGTTCCAATCTTATAGACTTCATAAGCTCTCGATTGATAAAAAAGAAATTTTTTTCTATGGACCTTGACTGAGATAATTAACTTCTGAAATTAAAGAGTCTCAGATTTTTCAATGTTTTTAAGAGCTTTTTTCATATAAAATGGTTTCCATAAAAATGGGTCACAGTCACAGTGGGCATTTTTTGCTAGAGCAGGCGGACTTTAGCTTTATGAGTGAACTAAAATTTCATGAACCATTTTTTTATAGGTTTTTCATGATCCTCTTTCTAATGGCATGAGAGTTGGGCTTTGAA